TGTCCCAGAGAGCTCATTCTGGAATACAGCTTAGTCATGGAAATGAGATAAATCCTATTTCACAGAAACTGGTAAAAATAAAACTGTTGAGGATTGATTTGTTTCTATAGCAACAGCCTGGAGAAGCTAATACAGCTGCTCTCTGCAGAAGGGAGAAAAACATGAATTGAAATGTTAGTCCACCTGGGACTGTAGCTGTCAGCAAAAGAAAGATCTTCGATAGACTGATGAAGGGGTAAAATGCTTAATTAAAGACGGAGGGCAGGAAGATGTGAGCTGTGTTTGGAAAGAAATTGGTGCCGGAGTGTGTGAACGTGCCCCCTCTCCTGCACAAAACCTGGAGAGCCTCCTCGGAGCTATTTGTGTGTTATTTCCCAGAAGATTGCTTTCTGAACTTGCCTGCCGCCCTCTCCCGGGTGAGGAAATGCCCTGCTCCACGCGAGGCAGTGCTTTAACGCCGTCCAGTACCTCGGTGCTCATCTTGTCAAGTGCGCATTTTTAAACCTGAATTTAAAATGACTTTCTGTCCTGCAGTGAATCACCGTGGCTGGCTTGAGAACTGTGCATGGTTTATCAGGGAATCTCTTTGTTGCATGGAGAGATGCACTGGAGACGGCCTGTGGGAAGTTGGGATGAATATCTGAGCTAAGCTTTCTTGATTACCCTTTAACTCAAACTGGATATGGAGCTGGATGCTCCATACCAGCATGTGCCAGGGCAGAGTTTTCTCTGGATGTTTGTATCCTGGGAGAAAATCCAGCCTTCTGGATAAGGTGCTGGACTTTAAAACTGTTTTAATCTATAGCGTGTAGATTTGTGTAGGTTTTTACCTTACTTTTTCTTAAACCAAGAATTTTAGCAGACCCTGGTACATACAGTGGGGTTATGGTGGCTGTGTCCCCCCCATGGTTAGTAAAGGTGAACTTCTTAAATATTTAGGAGACCCTGAGATGCCAAGTGCTCAGACCACGTGTATATGCGTACGTTCTTGATGACGCATCCCGCCTTGCATGGCTGTTAAGTGTTTTGGATTAAAATCGGTATAAACATCTGAAACTAGCAGGATGTTAATGAAATTACAGAAGTTGATTTTAAAACAGGAATGTGTGTGGAAGGCTTTTACCGGGCTCTGCGAGAGACTCTGTTATTTAGCTTAAGGAAAGACAGAGATTGACTTCATGTTATTTAGGTTTGGTAAACGCAGACAAAAAAATTTCCTTGTTATTTAAACACATGGTTTCTTTTAAAGGGAAATTAAATTTAAAAATAAACCTCAAGCTTTTTCCAGCTAAAAGGAAGTGTCTGTAGCGCTGCATACTAACGATGCAAGAACACAACCTTGTCTGAAAGTGAGTGCCATAAATATTATGTAAATACATTATCTCATTAGATTTATATCTAATCCCGTTGCCTGCTGTTTTTCAGACTCTTGGGCCAAACAAGGCTGAAGATGTCATAGGTGATCTTTCAAATCTAATATTGAAGTGGGTTGGAAATTAGGTGAAATGACTTTTGTCTCATCCTAATTAAGACACTATGAGAAATCCTTTCAAGTTTGGCATCACAAAGTAAATTGCCTGGTTTTAAAATGTAATCCGATTAAAGCAGCCTAGTGCCTGGTAAAGTTTGAAGCCTGCCCGTGCAATGATACAGATGGGCTCCCCCGACCCTTCCTTACTGCTCTTCATTTCAGAAATCAGCACAATTTTTTTTTTTAGGAAGCAGGAACAGGATTATCGTAAAGCCTTGAACTCTGCAGACTTCAAAGCTTTGCATTTGGGTCTTGGTTCTGTTGCAGGGGTTGTGAAGTCCATCAGATGACTTAAACAAGAGACTATGTCCCGTGGACTTGGGGGTTTTTTTTTTTTTGGCTAGTACTTCTTTCCAGTGTATTTTCAAACCACGGTTTCTTGCTGCACAGCGTTAAGTCTGACAAAGTGTTGGCTGTCACGTAAGGGACGGTTAAGTGACCTCGATTCTTCCTGTGATCCCCGTGGATGACTTCTGGTTGTCTTGGAGTGTCGTTAGTAACTCCCTTTGCGTGATTTAAAATTACTTGCATTCACCTCATGAGGTTGGGCTCTCTTTACAGCCTGGTTTCAGCCTGGTGGAGTCTGAAGCCATATGTCTGAACTGCTATGGCTCATCTCCATTGAGTTAGGACCAGCTGAAAACACAGGGAACTTGGAGGACGCGCGTAATTAGTGCTGGATTCGGCATTTTGGAAAGATTTCCTTTAACCTCAACCGGAATTATTTCACAGAAAGAGCGAAACAGGATGCGTCCTTGACATTCCTTTTCGCTGAAAATAAAGACCTAAAAAGAAGAGAATTGGTTTAAAAAAAAAAAAAAAGCCCAAACTGCTGTCTTTCTGATTGTCCAAGTTGGAAGACGTCATTCGAAGACGGCGTTCGGTGTCTGTGCTGAGGTTAGCGCTGGAAACCGCTGGGCTGCGGGGGAGCTGCTGTAAGGAGTCCAGCCCGGCTTCCCCGTCCAGCCCAGCGCCGAGAGCCTGGAGATGCTCTAGGTCCTAAGTACGACTTCAGAGTGACTCAGAAGAGAGGCAAGTCGCTGTTTGCTTTGGTCTTCTCATTCTTAACCACCATTATAGTGCCTGGAGTTTCATCCTCGTGAACCCGGTGTTTCTAACCCGACCTGCTCTCGTTAGGGGTTAATGATTTCCCGTGTCCCGCCGTGCCGGGCGGCGCAGCGCGGGCTCTGCTGCGGGCGCGTTGGTCAGTGTCGTCTGGGAGCAGTTTTTCAGATGCAAAGATAAACGGGTGGATGTCAGCTCTTGAGCTGCGGTGGACAAATAGAAGAAATTTGAATCTCGAAGTGAAATTTGGAATGTTAAGCGTTGCATTTAAACTGTGTGTTCATGAATATATAGTACAGTGGGTTTTTTTTCTTGTTCATTGACCTTAACCGCTTCACAAGACTTGAGTTTTCAGACTCTGAAATTATCTTAGTTTGAGGTAATTATCAGTTTGGGTTTTCTCCACAACCTGCTCATGCTTGACATGCTTTTTCTTCTAAATTCCTCAGGAAAGTTGGGTACAATTTAATGGTCTTCCGTGCTGCTCCAAGACAGCTATGCAGAGTTACTGTCTGAGAAAAGGAGTTTGTGCTTTCCACCTCAAAAGCCGTCACCGTCGGTGGTGGGTGAGCTTTTGAAGCCATCTGAAACGCCTTAGGATCTTGGTAGTTATATGGGTATAAGTTGTTACAGCTGAGATATAATTATTTGCCGGGATAGAGTTGCAATGACCCTGAAATTGTTTGAAGTACGGGAGAGCTTTATCCCCGCATAAGTTTATAATTTAGTAGTCTGACTTGCATATATATATATACATTCCTCCTGTACATTAAAAATGTTAGGCTGGGAAAGGCTCTGCCACTAAAAGCGCCTCCTGGCTTGGAGAACTGCATTTAACAAAGAAAAAGCCCAGAACTGTTTCTGTATGCTTTCAAGTAAGCGGGCAGAAATATTTTAAGGGTTTTGGAGCATATTATCATATGTTTTGTACATTCCCCAAAGAAAATGTGTTTTTTTTTCCTGGTGAGGAAAAATGCTGTTTGAGGCCGGCTCGTCATCTTGGGGAAAATCAAATCTGGCAAGTGGATAAAAACAGAGCTGGAAGCTTAAGGTGTACAGTGAAATGTGTGGGAAAGCGCTCTCTTTGCTGCCGGTTCTGTTATTTATTCAGTTTACCAGTGTTCGGGATATCTTTGCCAGCTCTCGGAGGAGCGGTACCTGCCCGTCTGCCTTTCCCACAGCTCTTCACCAGCACTCAGCAGGGAAAGGACCTTTGCATTTAATACATATCGTTTGGCTGGCTGACTTACACGCTCATATTTTTCAGCTCTGACCTTATCTCTGTTCTACAGATAGCGTAGACAAGCAATGACAACTTTATAGGAGCTATCTCAAGATTTGGAAATAATTTACTGCCTCGGCCGTTTGCTCTCGTGCCCGTTTTTTAACGGGCCAGATTTCGCTGATGCTGCTAGGGTAAAAGGATGTCCTGTTTCATTTCCATCCTACTTTTCTTAAGCTTTATTAAGAACTGTTGTCTTAAGTTAATGCTTTCTCTGTTTGCTTGACGCATACCAAGAACGAGCAGGAGCTTATCGCAGTGCTCTTTGAACGTGACCGCTCAGGTGTGTCCTTAATGTCCCCATCCAGGCCACCGCAGGGTCAATATTCTGTTCGCCTTCTCACTGTCTTTGCTCTCTCGTTTCCCTGTTACTTGCTCTTTGGGCATCCAATTAAGAAGCTCATCAAGAAAGAATTTCATCTGGAGTCAGTGCAGTGGTATGTAGTTGCCTTGTTTGTGTCCCACATTGTTGCCAGTTAATTTCTTGCTCGGACGTGTCTTTCTTTAGCCTTTGGGGACTTCTGATTAAGCCGGAGCGCTGGGATTTGATACAGGCTTAAATTGAGCTGTGTGGGTGAAACGGCTTGACTGCTGATGTGGGTTGTGTTGAAGGGCAAAGCCTGCTCCAAATGCTTAAGTGGAAGCTTTGTGGTGGCTCTTAATTCTCCAGTCCCATGTTCCCTTCCTTGAGGGCCTCTTCTCCCATCCCACTGCATTTGGTCTTCGGTATCGGAGCGACTAATTTCCTTTTTACTTAAGCTTAACGTTTCTCCCCGCTTGTCTTGATGTGCTGGGATGGGCGCCCTGCGAGTCTCGCCCGAAGGCGTGCGGGGTCTCCCCCTGCGTGTGCGGTGCCCTCTCCCGCTGTCGGAACAATTAAACACTCAATGCCAGCGTAAAGTCAAAGCCTTCGTGTCACTGATCTTGGCAGTGTCACGAGGGAAATGGGATGTCGTATGAGTCTCCGTCTCATTTTTTTCAATCTCCCTGAGGCGAAAGTGCACTCTAGATGCAGTTATCGGTACAAAATAATTGCGTTTGCTTTTTAATTGGTGTAGGGACGGGGTAATTCAGTCTCTGAATCTTTGTTTTCTCTGCCTCTGCTTTACTTGGCCTATTTACCTGTTTCTCAACTGCTCCAGGTCGGGCACAGGCGCCGCTGTTCAGCCTTTCGGGCATCGGTTCGAGGCAGCAACCGGTTGGAAAAGGAAGAACCGGTTTGCGGTGGAAGCGAGCGGGCTGGCGTGGTTTGAGGCTGATAAGGCATGAAGTGGAGATGGCTTTGCCGAGGCTGGAGGGCACGGTGGCCAAAGGGAGCGTCTGAGCTTGGCTGGCGTGGGCTGGAGCGGGGAGAGGGCAGGTCTCCTGAGCAGTCCGCTTGGCGCTGCGGGAGGGAGACACGTCGATTTTTCTCTGTATGGAGCGTATCGAAGACTTAACCATATTTAAATAAAGTATCACCTTTTCTATATGCTTCTAGGTACAAGGTTCCCTGTGAGAAATCCCAAATTCCCACCGAGACGCGTATTGGATCAGGGCGCTGTGGGTGCCGGGAAAAAAAATAGTAATTGTGACTTGTTCTGATCCTGTTGATTTCATCTGACGATGAACATGTAGCTGTTTCGCCGAGTAGACAGCTAGCAGAGAGTGACACATTTTCTGCCATCCTGAAACACTTAATTGGTGCATCAATTCCCCCCGTACAGGGGGAATGACAGGCAGTGGGAATGAAATGTGCTCTGCCAGAGTGGGGTTTTTTGTACAAGTTCCTTTTGGCAACGTTTTTACTCCAAACTCGGACCTTTTGTGTGTCTGTCAAAAGGAA